TGCCGTATTGCCTGTGGTTGTGTTACCCGTACTACATCCGAACAAACTGATACTCATTACCGCAGTTAATAACAGCATTGCACTCTTTTTCCGTGTTTTCATCCCCAACATATTCATCCATCTCCCCTGGTTTCCTGATTAAGTTGTTCAACCTGTAGTGCTTTTGATTGCATTCACACATCAATTCATCCCTAATTAGCTGCTGCGATCACTTCACGGTGATTCACTGTTTCGACATCCTGTCCATCCATGCGGCATATCCACTCGGGAGCAACATAGAGCTGAGCCTTCTCGCCTACGCGTACTCTCTGGTTCATATAGGCTGTCCATACGCCGAGCCCTTCCATCTGCACCCGCACTTCATAGCGTTCACCTACATAGCTGACGCTGAGTACAGTTCCCGGATAACACAGATCGTCATGACCTGTTTTGTTCCAGGTGACATGCTCTGGACGCACCATCGATTGATTAGGCGTGAGCCAGTTGGACTTTCCGATAAACGAAGCGACATACGGATCACTTGGCGCCGAGTAGATCGTTTCCGGGCTTCCTTTTTGCAATATCCGCCCCTTCTTCATCACCACAATCTCATCCGACATCGACATCGCTTCAATCTGATCATGTGTGACGTACAGCGCAGTCAGTCCCATATCCCGTACTAAGTACATCATCTCAATCCGCATCTCTTCCCGAAGTACAGCATCCAGTGCACTTAGTGGCTCATCGAACAGGATCACACCAGGTCTGACGGCTACGGCTCTGGCAAAAGCAACCCGTTGCTGCTGTCCACCAGACAGCTGATGCGGATAACGATCTTCCATACCTTGCAGGCGAACCATGCCAAGGGCTTCATTCACCTTTTGCCGCAGATCGAATTTCTGTTTTCCGGCCTTCAGGCCAAACGCTACATTTTCATATACGGTCATATGCGGCCATAATGCAAAATCCTGAAACACCATGCCCAGATTACGCTTGTGTGTTGGTATATCAATCCGCTTCGCCGCAGAGTAGATATACTCACCATCTGCACGTATCTCCCCCGCATCCGGCTGTTCCAGCCCGGCCAACATGCGGAGTAGTGTTGTTTTGCCACAGCCTGATGGGCCAAGCAGTGTCGTGAACTTGCCATGTTCAAGCGTTAGATCTGTCGGCAGCAGTGCGGGTGTTTGATTAAATGATTTTTGAATTCCCGTTATCTCTAATTTCATAAGCATCCCTGCCTGTCTTCTGTTACTTGATCTCTTTTGTTACTTCCTCTCTTGCACTGTTCTCAGTCTAACGTCCGCTTTCGCGAGTTGTATGTCTTGTATGTAAAATTGGAATTAACTTTTTAGACGAATTCTGTTGATGTTCATAGATTAAATCTATAGTAGGTGAAATAAATTAATTTTCATGTTTTCGCTTGTCTTACAGCACCATCTTCCGATCGCTGTTATCCCCAGATTTGAAATATTCCCTTTATGAAGGGAGAAATCCGGGGATAAAGGAGAAGCATATGGTTTCGAAGTAGCTTTCTTCCAGAAAGCTTTTGGCTTCGCTTCTTCAGATTGTTTCGGTACTATCCGTAGATATGAAAAATATTAGATCATCTTATATATTGGGGTTAGTAGAAGTGAGAGGATCGTTGGGACATCGAATCTGATCAAACTGCAAATTGATGAGGTAATCGATAAGCATCATCACATGACAAGCGTGGCAGAGTTACTGGGGATCAAACAACCAACCGTTACATTTCATATGAAGTCAATGGAGGAAGAGATGGGCGTGCGATTATTCGAATCGCGCAGCGGAAAGACCTTTCTAACCGAGGCCGGACAAGCCCTGCTCCACTATTCCGTCAAAATCAATGCCCTGACCCAAGAGGCAAGGCGGGTAGTAAAAGAATATGACAGTCTATATCGGGGCACTCTGCACATTGGGGCAAGCTATGTACCAGCTACATATCTGCTGCCCGCTATA